AAAATCCTGAATTTCCACTAGTCTGACCCACGTTACACATTTTATCATAGCATGTAAACTGTTTACAACCAAACTGTACGATCTGACAAAGAGCACTAGCTTCAAATGTCATCCTTCTTTAGATAAAAAATATTAAAAATGTGGTGATTGTTCAACCTATTATTTCATTTTGTTTTCTTTAACAGCATTTAAAGATGTTTATTGTAACATTTACAAAACATTGATTTTTTTTAATTTACTTAAAAGGATGATGTGCTCTGTTCATTACATTTTTGTCTCACTGATTTTCATTTATTTCAATTTAGGAAGGAGAAACAGCTGTTAAATTTGCCAATCGAGTTAAATCAGAAATAGCTCGTAAGGGTGGTTTGGTGGACCTGATGTGGTGAGGTTTTTTGATGATTAGTTTCTGTGACCTAAATAGTGTGACCTCCAGCCAGCTTAGGAGATTTAGATTAATCCTTAAGAGTAATGTTATTAGTATAAATAATCAGTAATAATGCTCAAAGTTATTTTAAATGGTATAACCAATATAATTAATAAAACTAACTTAAAAGAAAAATGGGATATAGCATTGCTTAAAAACATGCACAGGTTGTTTGTTCTGTCAGAGATTTCCATTATATGTAAATTTATGTGTAATCTTGTCAAACTATGAGAAGTGATAATAATCCTGATAGTGTAATTTTAACTGACATGCAAACTTCTGTATAATCCTACCAAACTATAACAAGTCATAATGACCATTGTGTAACTTTAACAGCTTGGCAAGTGGCTTCTGATATGTTATTCTTAGTGTGACAGTACAGAAATTAAGAAACTAATATTTATGTACATGTGAAGCAACTAAATGGAACTATAAAGTAAAACCTTATCTTTAAGCTCATCTGCAGATGCTGCTTTAGGTTTAATTGATTACAAGAGGCAACAAACAGATATTTTATATTGCTCATCAAACTTTATGAGATCATGTTCGAGTTGAATTGGATCAATAGTAATAAACAAAAGAAATTATTCGAGGGCAATGAAGAATGTATATCAGTTTTTCATCAAGTTAAAAAATTAATAGTCTGCTTCTGAAATCAATAAAATTCGTTATATATATGTACATAAATTTTAAACAAAAATGTTACCTAATGATAGGACATAAGCTTAACTTCAGTTGTGAGATATTGCTTAAGTATTAAAGCTTCTAACGTGCTTAAAGTGTTTTCATTAAGTACACATGTATGTCTCTTAAAAAGGAATTAAGGCTGAATTCACATATTTCTTAATAGTTTAGATAAATTATTCTTTTTACTAAGTGTAAGCTATAAGATTGATATGCCTGTCCTTTTTCGTGGTAAATATTGTTTCTAAAGCTCGCAGTGTTAAAAAATTTATTTTCTTGTGAAATTTATGTGACTTCTCGATAGTCTTTCAAATTTTTTTACACTTTTAGGGATGGTCAACTAAAAAGAACGAATGTCAAAGCAGAGTGGAAGGCAAGACAACAGGAGGAGTATAGTCGACTTATCAAACTAGACTGAATTAATGGCATTGCTTAATGTGTGCTTATGCTGTTGTACATTCTTTTGTTTTCTTATACTCTGAGGATCACATGTATATTACTGAGATTACAAGAGTAGCCATACTCAACTGTGACATATTTTTAAATGCATTAAAAAATATATCAGTTGTTATTTTTTTATAGAAATATTGGAATTCTAGTTTGCTTTTGTAAATTACCTAGTTTTCATAGTTGTAAGTTTTCCTCTCTCGCAAATTTATTTTTTATGGTTTCTTTTAATGGTTGCTGTTTGAGAATTTGTCAGTTAAGCTTCTAAGTTACTTGTTTTAGATATTATAAACAACATATAGATAATTGTGCTTCCCTTCCCTTAACATCTGGTTAATTATTGGACCAAATTATGAATGGATTCTACTTCAGGTAGAATTTGATGATGGTAGTGTGTGTGGAGAAAGTTTGTTTATGCGAGCAGTAGTATTTACAACTAAAATAATATGCAGCTTAAAAATTTAGACATATATTTATCGATCTACTGAACTGTGATCTTCAGAATTTGAGACTCTTCAATAAGAAGTTTTAAATTCATACTAATAAGTTATGAGATTAAAGTTAAGACTTTCAAGTTTACATTCTGTGTGTTGAAGAAAAATGGGATGCAGCAGATTACTGGGAATCTTTTATTTAGTGTATGAATGTTGTAAAAGTAAATGAGATTTTTTTTAGTAGAATAGAAGAATTTGATGTAACATAAAATCTGGTTTTGAATTGATTTTTTGTGGTTAATTTTTTATTGTTGATAGATTATTAATGGCACAATTTTTTTTAAACAAAATATCCACATTCTGTTTATAGTGCAATGTAAAAACTGGTCATTGAGACAAGGATCTTTTGTGAAGTATAAAGTTTGTTGTTTCACCAGCTTTGGTAAAGTAAATGTTAAAGAAATATAAAGGAAAAAATCCCGAAAACATAAAATGTTTGATCCTTAAATGTTTTGTAGACATTCATATGGACCTTTACTGCCTCTAGGAGTCTCTGACATGCCAGTGTACTTTCTAATATCTTGGATTGCACCAATAAAAATGGGGAATTCAGAAACATGCAATGGAAATAACAAACTTTCTGTTCAAATCTCTGAAATGATAATTTAATATTAAACTAGTTGATTGTCATGGAAACAACAATGTGTGTTTGATTGAACTAGGATTGTAGTTCCACACACTTCAAGGTGACACCAGACATTTTAATTAATTTCTTCTAATCTCATAGTTTTGTTTTTTCTAGTTAGCTTGTAGTCGTGATGTTAATATCATAGTTTGTGTTAAAACACCTAACCTACTTTATGTCAATGGAACCTTACATTAAATAGGACCATTAATATTTTCTTGGTATGTTCCCTGTATTCTTTGTTTTGCTGTAAATGGCTAATATTACTTCGGGCTCTCTTCTTGTTTTAGCAAGGCCAAGATCAGATTTTTTGAACAAAATCATTAAGGCAGTTTCTTAACTATTCAAAAAGTCCTTGATGATTTTCATTATGTACCAGTCGAAGTATAGTGTTGTGAAAAATGTGAAATGGAAACATTACCTGACTTACCTAAGTAATATTCATAATGAAACCATCCTTGCTCCTCAAGTTTTGAATATGTCTACTTTCAGGTTTGTTCATAAATGTAAGATATTAAAAAAGTAATACATTTTGTGACAATTTGATTATTTTTCTAAATTTTCACAGCTTTGTGTCAATGGTCTGTAAAATGATCTGCATTTAGCCCTGGTAACACATTCCATTTATTTTTGTCAGCTGTTTGCACTTTCAAATAAGAACAACATCTAACAGTAAATAAAAGTGATGATTGCAGGGTATTCTTGTAAATAACTTGACAAGAAAAAGATTAAACCAAACTCTTTATCAGTATATCATGCTTACAAACATTGTCAAACTTGCCGTTCCGAGATATGCATAAATCATTCCTAGTTAGTAACCTATATGATCACCTAAGTATGATTATCAGTTACTTACTGTAATTACTAGATACTAATTACTAACTAGTTTTTATACTAGTATCAAAAAAAATAATTTGTTAATAATCTGGCTTAGGTATTCAGTCATATGGACTACTAAACATACCATGATTGATATCCAATCTCTACAACCTTACCATAAGTATTTATATGCATAACTCTGAGACTGCTCAATATGTACATCACTGCCATGCATATTTACAAGGCTATAGTTTTGAGAAATACATATAAATTATTTGGGAATTTTTCTAACTCTTCGCTCTTTTTCATTTTTTTTTCAAGAAAAATTACCAAACCTTAACTCATCCATATCTAAGTGAAATAGAAGGGAAGAAAAGACAAGACAGGTGAATAAGTAATTACATTATATTTTTGTACCTAATATTTAAAAAGATGCAATTTACTTTTCACTTGTGGACTGTCTTTCTTCCTTGGTCACTGACCTGTTTCAAGCAAGTTGAACTACACAATCTTAGTTTTAAATAAGTAATCAACTGACACAAGGTAATAATAAAAAGTGAAGTTTAACTGTTTCGTTTCACTGAAAAAAATTGTTTGTGTGGATTGTGTGTACCTGTTAGTGTCACTTCAAATTACACATGCTAGTTCCATCTGTGGACTTGAATATTATGATATAATTTGTAGGAAAATTAGAATTAATTCACAATGTAAACAAAATTTTCTCAAATGTGCAAAAAAGGAAATAGTTGGCCACTCAGGTATGTAACTTTTAAGTATATTTAAAAATTGTCAGATTTTGAGGAAATTATAATGAAATATTACTAATGCTATTTCAAGGTTCAACAGCAAAAATTGAGAGAATGACTAATATTTATAATTCATGTATTTCAATGCTGTAGCACTTGAAAAATGCTAGTTACTTCAGACATACTATAAATATCTGGAATACCAGCATAAAGTAGTTTTTTGTTTGTTTGTTATGGTCTACAACACATGATCTACCTAATGCACTGATGTTAACGTTTATGGATATTATTTTTTGCTCACAATCCTAAAAGTACAAATGGTGTTATTGAAGTAAGTTTGTGGAATTAGTTTAGAAGTTCAGTCTGTTTTTTTTTGTGTAACTTGAAACATATATATATATGCTCATTAAAGCATACATATGAAATATTAATAAAATGTTATTTTTGATAAAGAAATAATGAAGTGAAACAAACTATTAACTTGTGGATAATTTATTTATGTAAATATTTGTCTATACACATTATCAACGTGCTATGAAATATCTTCTTTCAGCACATTAAGAATATCTTTTCACCAAAGAATATTTATGACATGATGAATGTAAAACTGTATAATGAATATTGTCTTGTTGTTTTGGATATGGAAGTTTCGGAATGCCAGAAAATGGAAAATGCTGTGTCAAAAAGATTGTTTCTTAGTTGTTTCTTTTTGTGATGAATGTGTACAAAATATGCATAGTATATATTGAATATAATGAATGACTTGAAGGCAGAGGAATGAATCTGACATGGATGGTACACACCAGATAAATGTGACTTATACATACAAGTTAAATAGTGGGTGACTTTTTTTTGATAGAAGTGTAATGAAAAGAAATAATATTTTAAAATTCTTGAGAAAGTGATTATTTTACTTATGGGCAGTTATATTTGTTCAGTATGTAATGTTTTATTTGTTAGCATTTGTTTTTCTGTGATTAATAAATTTGTACTTCAAGTAATTGCGATGTAATGTTTCCATTTACACTTAACCTTCATCATCAGTATATATTGGTATTCATACTTAACATCTATTATAAATATATACTATAATTACACCATTTTAATAAGCGCTATTTGAATTGACATGTTGGAGCATAAAAGGTAACTTAAGAATAGTTCCCCAGTGGATCTGCTGTAAGTTTTACAGGCTATAAACACTAAAATCCAGGGTTCAATTTCTCTCTGGTGGACAAAAGTGCACATAGCCCTATATTAATTTGAGAAAAAACTAAAACGAGTGTACTTCAGTTAAGGGAATTGCCTTCTCTGATGGTGTACTATAGATTAGTGTGTCTGACTGTGGATACAAAGTAAAGGATTCACGTCTTGTGCCACAAAAATTGCACTCCTCACTTTAGGACCATGTGTGTGTTTATACGAATGATGGTTAAATCCCACTATGTGATTGGAGCAGCACAAGCATTATTGGTGGTTTCTGTTTACTAGGTGCCTTCCATCTAATCTATCATTGTTTGCACAAAGTGTCTTTCAGGTGAACCATCAAATATAGAAATTCATTCGTATATAATATGTAAAATTTTGTGTAAAAGAAGATTTTGGCAGAAAATTTCCATTCATCTGATATATTTGAACATGAAGCTTAATCGAACTATTTCTTTTTTAATTATTCAACTCCTTGATTTGGCTAGGACAGGACAGTGGAATCACATTCAAAACTTTCCTGGTTCTGTTAAATTCAGATCAGTCTATAACAGAAGCAAACAATGATTAGGGAATTCAATACTGCACATTACTATTTACACTAATGTACTTATCCCAGATTTAAAGCATTAGGTATTGCGAGAGCAAACACCTTGTATTTGCAACTTTGCTGAGTGTATTATGGAATTGTTTGAGAAATCCAACAGTAGTAGGTAAGCCGCTGTACAATCCTGAACTCTAGTTAGCGCAATAAAATTTATGCAAATTGTGTAGTTTTGTTTACATGCACAGGGAACTTGTTAATTGTGAGCAGCATGGTGCTATTATACATTGGGATATAGGCTAAAATATTGTTACATATCTGGTCGTTTGTTAATTTCCGGTATAAATTCTTCCCGAGGAACTTCAGCGATACAAGTCCTTTATTAAATAAAACTTGTTTATTATTTCTCAATATAACTTGGCAATATACAGAATTTCCACATTCACTTTAACTTAAACACACTATAATTCACAACGATTCACGCATTTTACTTACGGTCACTACCGTTCGCTTGACTCAATTATCTGTCTCTATATCTTTGTAATCAATCATCTCGCTTTATTTGCCGATCTTATATACAAAAAGAGGGCACCTAGAAAAGACTAGAGTTGCCAGGAAAAGTCAATATCCTTCGATAATCTCATGACGTGTTACCAGCGTCACGTGACTTTCGCTGTCGTAACAATATCTTGAAAATTCAAACCACCATAGAACTTCACAAAGGTTCACGAGTTCCTTTTCTTTTGACTGTCTGTGACATTTTATGAGATTTATAAATGCTATACAACCTGTCCATTATGGTTCACATGCAAGTTCTGTAGGTGCATCTCCCCAGTACTTTTGGGAATGTATTTTTTCTCTAAATAATTTAGAGGCAACATGAAAAATCAAGTTCAAAAGTATGTTATTTTTCATTATCTGTATTTAATATAACAGGATAAAAGTTAAAAGTGCAAACTTCGGGGTCATGCAGTAACATTAGATTCAGATAAGTTGAGAATAGCATATTAGGAAGCTTCTCTTTGGTCGATGTTGCTATTGGAACAGTGATTTTACTTGTAGATATAAAGGTGCAAAGTACTTGATTGTATGAAGTTTAATTTATAGTGGAGTAAGAAGATGTTTAACCTTGGGATGATATGATTGGCACCTGTTATCACAACCTGACTGAAGCTTGACACCCAGCAACTATCACGGCCTTCCCTACATTGGAGAAACTGTACTTTAGTTTTATAACTACTGGTCTCTCTCCCTATGAAACTTGTGTGTATATATATGTGTGTGTGTGATGGCTAAGAGATACTTTGGCCTCTTCAAAAATTATTATTTTCATACTAAGTGGATTATTTATCACGGATGTTTCAAAAGTAGCATTTAGCTAAAGAACTTTTTTAACTTCACACTTAAGAAACTGAAAACAATACAATTAAACTCTTGAGTATTAAACATTGTCAAAATGATGGGCTTATCGTTCTTACTATTACATATAGTAGTAGTATTTAGTAAGTAGGCTGAAAAATATGGGTGTGTTGAGCTAAGGAATGTATGGTAATCTCATGGTGCCATATCTGGAGAATATGGTGGGTGGGGGAGAACTTCCCAACCCAACTCCATAATCTTCTGTTGCATCAAACGTGCCACATGTGGACGTGCATTGTCGTGGAGAAGAAAAACACCTTTCCCATTGTCAAATGAAGGGCTTGATTTAAACGTTCCAGTTGCTGACTATAGATCTCTGCATTGACAGTTCACTGTGGATTGAGGAGATCAAAATGAATTACTCCTTTGATATCCCACCAAATGCAAAGTATCACTTTCTGCGGATGGAGTCCGGGTTTTGGGGTCGGAAGTGGTTTTTGTCTAGGACTGAGTTACTGTTTTGGCACTTAATATTCGCATAAAGAATCCATTTTTCATCACCAGTGACAATTCTGTCCAAAAACGATTTATGCGCCAGAAGAGACGAAGCAACGTTCACACGTTGGAAACGACGATCATCGGAGTGTTCGTGAGGCACCCAAACACCTTCTTTATGGATTTTTCCCACGTTCCTTAGATGTTTACGTATTGTTTCATGAGAGACGTGCAATTTCAGGGCCATTTCACGAGTTAGACCTTGGATTAGACTCAGCAAGCGTCTTCAGAGCATCAATATCAATTCCAACATA